TAAAGAATTTAAATTTTGTTAATTGATGATGGTTCAATTGAATTTTAAGTAAAATTGTGGAAAATATGAAAATAGTAAGAAAGTGTTGTCTAGGTAGTTGATGAAAGATGAAGTAAGATAATGCATGGCGAATATATTTTGATTAGTCGAGACATGGATATGCTTCTTTTTCGGTATATGAATATCTGACTGAATAAAAGCATAGGGTGCGTTAATCCACTTAACAAATTCATGTTAACGTGGAATTTACTTTTGGGAAATTACCAGCTATGTCCATTTATAGGTAGCTCATTACAAAAATTGGCCAATTGATAAAATATTACTAATATTAGCCATATTAGTCAAATTAGCCAATTAGCTATTTGTAGCAAAACAATATCAAATTTTTGCTTTGTTTTGAGTGGGTGTTATTAGAATAGATTGGGCACAACTTAAGGAGCTTGAATCTCAGTTTTGGGATGATTTGGTGAAGTTTTGAGGTGGTTTGAATTGAAAATTCGAAGTAAAAGCTGAATACGAAAAAAAAAGATATGTGTATCACACTGTGTATCATTTGTGTATCACATATGTATCATATTTGTATCAATTGTGTATCACATGTATATCCATGTATACCTGTGTGTGAGATACATGCTTGATACATGTGTCGCAGAAGACATTTTTGAACTCGATTTAACTATGAATTTTGATACAAGACCACTCCAAATCACCTCCAATCTTCCTCAAATTTTGTATATTGACTTATCTATATATTTTCAATGAATTTCAACTATACCCATTGAAAAAGTTCCTTTTTTGTTTAGATTTTTGAAATATTTGTATAGATTTTTGTATTTCATCACCTTATTTGCTACCCCGTCCATGAAATTTCTTTTCCGTCTTGTATCTAATGTTGCTAATACACTTAAAAATATGTAAGAGGATTTTTGCATGTGATTCTTTGAGAGAAAGAACCCTATTATTTGGTTTTTCAATTTTTGTTGGCTAGTTTTGGTAAGTCTATGACTAATGGCTAGAGGTTGGTAAGTTGAGGTTTATTTGGGACATTTGTGTAAGTTTCCCATTGATTTTTCGATTATAAGAATGACTAGGTGAGGAAAGGCCCGTATACGGGCCCAACATTGTAATCTTAAAATTGTTGTTGTTGTTACTCTGTTAATTTTTTGATAAATAAATCGATCATTGTTATATCCATTTAATAACTGATAGAGAATATATTGGGATCACAATTTTCAACTAATTTATGTTAATAATTTGTAAAAAATTAAACTATAAATTATAACCATCTTAAGTTGCTCCAATTAACATAAAAGGACTATGTGCTATAATACTCATTTTAATATCCATGTCAAATATAAACATCAAATTAAAAAATTGATTTGAATGGTATTATTTTCCCACTGTATTTGAATATTTAACAAGAGAATACATTAAAGCTACAAGTTAATTTATATTAACAAATTTTCTAGAATAAAAAGCTTACCAATCTATTTGTAAAGTAATTTTGAATACATCCAAACTGGTCTTGCAAGTGTTTCAACAGCGGAAACAATCAGCTACTTCATGAAAGTTAAAACGAACAACATTATTCTTTACAATACGATAAATGTTGGGGAAAAAAAACTTATAATTTTACTTTATGTCTTGTATATAACAAAATCAAGAGAATTTTTAGTACAGTATACAAAGAGAACTTCCAAGGGGACTTGCATCCATAAAGATGCTATTTAATACTTCAAACAAGGAGAACCAACTACATTAAACAAATACGAACATGATATTAATGGCAGTAATTCAATATAGTAGTTCAAATTATATTTTATTATAACTCTTTAAAATGATAAGATAATAATTATTTGATAGAAGTCTATATAAATTATAGGGGTTTTAATTTGTTTTCTTAATTAAGGAGATAAGAGAAATGTTTTTATTTTTTCTATAGATTTATCATATGTTAATTTTTATAATAAAATAATACCAAAATTATAACAAATAATATTTTAAGACAATTTATAGATAGTTGAAAACTTATCATGAAGAATGGAGTTCAAACCATATAAATTAAATTTTCACATCAATTAAGCATATAAGAGATAGCCTCCTAGATTAGGTGAATAAATTTCATCACATAAATTAACTTTTAAGATTTAGCAAACTATACTTTTTAAAATTACTTTTGAATATAAAACTTTATATTTGAAATCGCCTTCAAATAGTGTGGATACGTGAAAACGTTTTAATTTTATTTTTTAAATTGTGTTAAAATAGTATGGATAAATATGAAAATATTTATCGATACTTCTTTTTGTTACTTTATTATTAAAAGGTAAATTTACTTTTTCTATGAAAACTTTTAGTTGAATAAAACAAAAATGAATAATTTTATCAAATGAGAAAAAAAACGTTCGGAATCAGTATTTGCATGAAGTAACTCCGTGCAAAAGTAGTCTTTCAACAATGCATTTAAACTTGTAATGAATGTTGTGGTTAAGGAAATGTAGGGTCCACGTGTATCAAGGAGGACACAATTGCATTTAATGAATGAAAACAATGCAAGAATTTTTTGAAATGACATATATACCCTTGGTCAACCATATTTTCTTTTCTATATAATAGAAAATTCGTTGTCCGGACATAGCAGGACAAACCAATGTGAATAAGTGTAAGCTTTGTTACCCTAACACAATTGGTTCTAACCATATTAGGGCTACCGGGGAAAAAAAATTCAAGCGTCTAAGGTCTCAGGAGTAGATGATAAATGCCACCATGTCGCCGCAAGACCAATTTGATCCTCTTCCCTAAAGATCTCAGATAGCAGAATTTTGGGAAAGCCGCGAATTCTAACAATGATCGTGGTTTCAGCTATCGTTCATGTACTATTCATACAAAAATCGACCAACAATTTCTCCTGCCTTTTCTACGTTCTTGATAAATTTTCATCTTAAATAAGAAAAAGAGAAGAGAGGAAAAAGCAATTTATTAGATTCTATTGCGAATGTTCTAAGCACCATGAAAAAGAAGGAATTGTTATGACTTTTTTATTAATAATTCTAAATGAAGGGCTAGCAATGTCCAATCTAATCATTGAAGTTCAACACCATATATACATTTATCTCTTTCCCTAATTTGAAGCTAGATTTATCATTTTCTCCAAAGAAGAAAGAGCATTAATGTCATACTATGATTTAAAACAGCCATTGTTTTAAATAATTGCAGTTTCTTAAAGTAACAACTTTCCATTTTTGGGGATACATGATTTTGGGTTGTAGTCTGGACGACATTATTAAAATTACCCATCCATGAATATGTGATTTGACTAAACGAACGAGTTTCACTATCAATTGCTTTCTATATCTTTGTTTTACTTTCTTAATTGGGAGTTGGGACATAGAATCTAATTTGAAGAAGCTTTTGCTTAGACGCTAAAAGAAGTAGAAAATCCTTCTTTTTTTTTTCTTTTGCTAATATCAAGCATTTTATTTATTTAGAACACAGTTATTACAAGGAGGGGATGGAACGTACAGTTCCAGTGCCCCGCAAGTCCAAAAGTAAGTACGGCAAAACAAAAGGTGGGAGTATCAAAAAGTAGAACATCAGGCTATATAAGAGTAAGCTCCTTGCCAAAATGTGTCAGTGCATCTGCAATAGTATTACCCTCCATGTAGGTGTGGTGGAGCTGTGGCATACGTAAGTCACGCAACATCAACCTGCGAGTCTGTTTTTGTAAAATAACAGAGGCAGTTTAAGTTATATGCACGGATAATTCAAAAAAATTACATGACTAAATATATTTAATTTGTGATAATGTGTTTCGTACCATTTTATCAGGCTATCAAGTGACCCTTATAATAGATATTTATTCATAATTATCACATACATGTGATTTGGTTGAGTAAATATTTTTACACGATCAATATATGAAACTTAATTAAAGTCATTCTTTATTATTTTCATTTTCAGCATATTTTGAAAGTGCAACTAACTTTTCTTAAGTTAAGCTGGAAAATCTAAACTGATCTCGTTCGTTTTGCAAAGTTTAAGGATCTTTCAATTTATAAAAAAAAAAAAAGAAAAATTATGTGAGAAAAGACTATTTAAATATTTCAAGATTTCTTACTAGCTAAATGCGAAAACATAATTCGATGAAAAAGAATATAATATTTCGAGATGCATTTATTTTCGTTTACACCATAAAGAAAAAGTATAGTCTCGCTACTATACTTGTAGTTATTTACTATACCAAACCAACTAAAAGAGATATTCCTTGTGTCTCAATTTATGCGGAGCAATTTGGCTGAAAATAAAATTTAAAAGAAAAATTAAATTTTGTTATCCAAGCAAATCACATACATTTGTGTAGCTATATACTCCCTTCGTTCCAATTTATGTGAACATGTTTGACTGGACGCGGAGTTTAAGAAAGAAATGAAGATTTTTGGAATTTATGCTTCTAAACAAATCCAAATGGGGCCCAGAGTATTTGTATGGTTATAAAAGCTTCTCATTAAGGGTAGAATTGTAAGTTTAAGCTAAATTGTTACCAAATTTAGAAAGGGTTCATTCTTTTTGTAACAGACCAAAAAGGATATAGGTTCACATAAACTGGAACAAAGGGAGTATTATTTTTTTAAGAATCAAATATTAAATATAAATATAAGTTATTTATATGCATTGAAAGAAATCGTATGATGCGGAGTTGTCGTAGTTCCATTACCAACTTGTCGTCTTAGGTTCAAATTTTTTTTTTTGACTTATAAAGTTTATTTTTTGCTGAATTTTGAATATCCATACACGTTGCAGTCGCAGATCACGCGTCACATGTGACAACTACACCAAATCTAAGTCAATATATTCACATTACAGTCACGCTTTTAAACCCTCTCGATCTTTCCAAAATTTTGCAGAAAGCATCTATCTTCGCCACGTGTCACCATCCTATTCGTCAGTTTCCGCTATAAATATCATCTTTCTCCTTTCTCTGCATATACGCAGTTACCTCTAGTCTCGCATTTCCATTTATTGCGGCTGTCTCTAATTCGCTTGGTGCAGGTCGGGACTAATTCGCCGGCGGCGGCGTAAATCACGACGGCGGTTATTATTCTTAAACGAAGTTTAGATGTACGAAGTTATCAACAATTTCCTTTTGCGGCTTTTGGTCCCGCCTTGCATCAACTGAATTGGAGACTGCTGTGAATTGAATATTTCGAGATTGATTTCAGCTAATTCAGCTTCCTTCTGCATCGATCTAATATCTTTTGCCTTTTGTTTCCTCTCAGGTTTAAATCAACTGTTTTAGTTTGATACCAATTGTTACTTCTTTGTGTGTATGTGTGTGTGTGTGTGTGTTTTCTTCTTTGTACTTCAGATTTGATTTGCCTGGATCTGACTTTGTAGATTGGTGACTGTGTAGTTCGACTGTTAGATCTTGCTTTTATATATATTTTATCGATTTAAGTTATATACACCAGAGTATAAAAATCTATTTAGACCGAGGATAAGTTAGTTACTATTTTTATTAGATTATCAATTAATGCTTATTGATAGATTAACATGTAATTACCTAATAAGTAATCTGATTGTATACATAAGTTTTACACCGTCACTGTACAGAACTTGACCTGTTTATTTTATATAGTTCTCAGGATGTAGGAGATAGTGGTACACTGGTACTTGAGTAGTGATTGCCGAAAGTGAGATTTGACAATTTTGATGCCATTGATGAAGTACAGATTTCCTATTTTAGAATGCACTTAAAGATATAGTTTATCCAATCTGTTTCTATTTGAGCTGTTCTGATAAAGATTGACACTTTTAATACATTTGAGAACACTTTAGTAATAAGATGTTTGAAAAGCTGTAACATGTTTGCAAAGTCTTTTCTTTATTAGTATACTGGTCGATCACAGTTATATGAAAGGAAACCAGGGAGAATAATATTTGGTGATTTGAGATAAAGTGTGATGATTCTTTCTTATCCGATTATCAATGGCAACCTTCCAAGTATTTACCATGTTTTCTGTGATTTAATGATGCGTCCCTACGCATATCAGATGGATGGAGTGTAAAAACTATAAAGATTTAATTAATGATTTCTTGTGATATTGTTTCATTTTGTATGTCTCCTTCAAAAAGATTGACACTTCCATTTATTTGGAACTCTTTAGTCGTAACATGTTCTAAACGTCTAATCTTTATTATAATTCCTGTTCGATCATGGTTACATGAAATGAAACAGGGTAGAATGATATTTGGTGATTTGAGATAAAGAAGCGTGTGAGGTAATTCTTTCTAATTGGATTATGATACAATCCCACCTTTGAGGACTTATTATAGAAGAAAACATGAACGAGGAACTTTACAGTTTTCTAGTTATTTAAACAATATGTATTCTATAAATATCTAGTCAGGATTAGTTTGAAGGGCATTGAATGTTTGTCTAAACATTAGTATCCGGGAGTTTTATCCACTCCATATTGACAGATTTGTCGGTTGTAAATTGTGTTTAAGATTCTTGCACAATCTATTGCCAATAGTAATTTCCTTCTCTTCTCAATTTCTTTCATAAATTTTCAGCATCTAACAGATTATCAGTGGTAACCTTCCATGTTTTTACCATGTTTTCTGTGATTTAATGATGCGTCCTGACGTATTCAAATGGATGGAGTGTAAAAACTATAGATTTTCTTTGATTTCTAGTGATACTGTTTCATTTTGTATGACACCTAAAAGATTGCCACTTTTATAAATTTGGAAACTCTTTAATCGTAACATGCTCCAAAAATCTTTCTTTCTTAAACTCCTGGTAAATCAAATTTTTATTCAATGAACAGGGAAGAATCATGTTTGGTGATTTGAGATGAAGCGTGTGAGATAATTCTTTCTTATTGGATTATCAATTTCCACCCTCCAAGTTTTTATGGAGCTTTTGTGATTTAATGAAGCGCTGTTATATATATCTGATGGGTTGAGTGGCAAAACTATAAAGATTTGATCTTTGATTTCTGAATTGTTAGCATCAAGTTTAGATGGTACTTTATCTCTCATGGAATGTGAATTAAGAGAAAATTGGTTAAAGAGGTCCTGCTTTCCTAACACTCTTTTTTCTTGGGATTGCAGCAATTTTATATTTTGGCAACTGTTACACTTAGGTCATATCTCTATGAGGTAGGGGTAAGGTCTGCGTACACATTACCCTCCTCAGATCCATTTATGGGATCAAATTGGGTTTTTTGTTGTTGTTGTTGTTACACTTAGGTCATATCTGAGGATGTATAGACATTTCAAAATTTCATCTCAAATTGGTCATACAGGTTACTGATGGGACAATGTATGTTGCTATGACAATGGGAAGGAACTTTGAGAAGAGATCACAGTTTGTATTTGTACTAGATGGAGAGTCATGGTCATAAAAAATGTGTGGAATTAAAAAAATGGAAAAACTGAAACATTTAATGTTGTCATTCTGCAGATTTAACTGCAAAATCATCACCAAAATAAAATGGGAGTTCTTGTATGGCTGCTCTGTTCTGGGATTTGAGCTACACTGGGCCTTATCCTAGGGACATTGACTAGTTTTGTTTTTCTACAGTTGTTTGAAAGGATGAATGAACATGGTCTCCTGATTCCTAGCTTTGCTCTTGCCGAAGGAGTTTGGTTGTTTGGTTATCTCATGTAAATTGCTTGAAAACAAATTGCACGTGGGAGTAACATTAGAGTATGAATTTAGATAGCTATTCAAAAATGAATGAAGTATGCTGCTTGACAGTTTAGATACCACCTAACTGCGGTATAAAGCAGAGACATGCGCATTATGTAGAAGTGCTTCCACACACACAAAAAATATGTGTATATGTGTATTTTATTTTTTCTGTACGCAGTATCCTATAGTTCATAAAATATTATTCTCATGAACAAAGGCCTGCGTATACAGTTGTTTCCTTTCAGTTTTCCTTTTTGCCCTAACTATTAGTAGTAAAATGTTTCTCATTTTAGTCTCTAAGATATTTATGTTGTCTGTTGTTTTTGTAGAATGTGAAGCGAGGAATCTTGTATTGGTGTTGTATTTGCTCTGTAAACATAGGTACAGCTGTCTTCTTGGATGATGTAGGGACTGTAGCAAGAAGTGAATATGTTGCTGCTGGCAAGATTTCAGGAATATAAGACCAGTGGCTGGTGTGGACCATAGGTAAAATTTTAAATTTATACTGCAAAATGAAAGAATAAATTTAAATGTACCACAGATTCTATGGTTATATATCGTGCGATGTGCACAAATAGCCACTAACAGCACCTGTCTTTATTTTAAAGCCAGTGTTTTAAATGTCTTTAGTCTTTAGCCACTGGTTTTATAAACTTATACCTGACAGGACGAAAATACCCTTCTGCTATAACTTATACCTACGCTAACATTAACGAGCAGCAGAAGCGGCAGCAGCAGCAGCGCAACAGCACTTCACTGTGATCGTCGAAATTGAAGAAAATTCTCTTCTGATTTCAAAAATTCAACATTCTCATCTAAAAATCGACATAGATCTACAGTAAGTTATACTTTTATGTGTTTCTATTGATTTTTATTTCGACATAGTTATACTCTTTCCGATTTCTATTGATTTTTATACAGTAAATAGAAATTTGATTTTTTTTTTTTGAATTTCTGGATTGATAAAGTTAAGGACATCGCCTCCTATGATAATTCTATAAAAATTGAGCACATAATATTAAGGACATAGTGTCCTCATTTTGCAAATTGAATTGAAAAAGTTAAGGACACAATGTCCTTAACTTTGTTGCTGTTCTTCTATATATTAAGGACATACTGTATAGTTTTGCAAATTGTTTTGAAAAAGTAAAGGACACTAAGTCCTGAAGTTTGAGTTTCAAATTGAAAAAGTTAAGGACATTTGGTCCTTAACTTACACTTATTAGTTAAAACCTGTCCTTAAGTTTGAATTACAGATTGAAAAGATAAGGACATGAGTCCTTAAGTTTGACTTGCAGGTTCAAAAGTTAAGGACAGCAAGTCCTTAAGTTTGAATTACAGGTTCAAAAGTTAAGGATAGGAAGTCCTTAAGTTTTACTTGCAGGTTCAAAAGTTAAGCACAGGAAGTCCTTAAGTTTGAATTACAGGTTGAAACGTTAAGGGCATGAGTTCTTAAGTTTGACTTGAAGGTTCAAAAGTTAAGGACAAACAGTCCTTAAGTTTGAATTCCAAGTTCAAAAGTTAAGGACAGGCAGTCCTTAAGTTTCAATTACAGGTTCAAAAGTTAAGGATAGGCAGTCCTTAACTTTGAATTCCAAGTTCAAATGTTAAGGACACTTGGTCTTGAACTTACAGTACCTGTTCTTAATTATACAAGGATTGCTTTATAAAATATGTCCTGAGTTTCCCATTCTCTTGACTTGCAGGATGGAAACAATATGCATTATAGTTACCTTTAATGGTAGATGGACTGAAGACTATAAATATCTTGATCATCAAACAAAGCTTGTTCTAGTACCTGAGTCAATTCGGTTTGAAGATTTCATTAAAAAGATCTTTGAGGTTATTGAATTGGATAGACACAAGTTTGAAGCAGTGATATGGTTTGATATTAACCTTGAAACAAGCAAAGGAATGTTTGTATCCAAAGATTTAGATCTTCACACATGTATAGAGTTGCTAAAAACTCATTCACTCTTCAAGGGCTGTCGTTTCATTGTTGATATTTTGGAAAGAGTTTTTGGATCAACAAGCAATGGACATGTCAACACAGAAACTCAACATGACAATCAAAACAAATGCCAGCAGATAATGGAAATAAATATGGTTGAAGCTCAAGCAATAACTGAAGAGGTGCTTCAAACACATGTCAACAGAGAAACTCAACATGACAATCAAGACAAATGCCAACAGATAATGGAAATAGATATGGTTGAAGCTCAACCAATAACTGAAGATGCGCTTCAAACATTTGATTCTATTCAAGTAAAAGGACAAAGCATTATAGAGATTGACAACGAACAAGCTTTGGGTATTCAAGTCTTAGAGAGTGCACCGGTAATCGAAGAAGTTGTTGAAAAAACCTCTACTCAACTAATTAGACGAAGATCAAATTTGAAACAAAAAGAATCCCCAACTATGATATTAAGAGAAAATTCTTCGTTGGAAGAAATAAAAGTCGGATCAGTATTTGGCAAGAAGAAGAGTATAATTAACTATTTTTCCAATATAGCAATTAAAGGACATTTTGAATTCAAGGTTGTTAGATCAAGCTCAACAAGATATTCGTTGAAATGCAATGATGATAGGTGTTGTTGGTATGTGCGTGCTTTCAGAATTAAAGATTCAACACTGTTCAAGATAGTAAAGATTGAGAAAAAGCATGACTGCTCTGTTAACATAATGAAAGCAGATCAAAGGCATGCTACTTCAAAGTTAATTAGTGGTTACATTATCGACAATCTTCGGGACCTAAGGTTTGAAGTTACACCAGCTTTTGTCATGGCAGAGATGCAAAAATTGCATGGACTAGACATTGGATATCACAAGGCGTGGCGTGCTATTCAACATGCTTCCGCTTTAATAAGAGGAACTCCCGAAGAGAATTATGAATTATTGTCTTCATACTTGTATATGATGACAAGTAAAAACCCGGGAACTTATACTAACATAAAGATAGACGACAATTAACAGGTAAACAATTTAGGACATGCTATCTTTAACGGTATATAAACAATTTAGGACATGCTATCTTTAACCTTGTTAACTTTTGAGTTGTAATCAAAGTTAAGGACTGCCAGTCCTTAAGTTTTGAACTTTGAAATCAAAGTTAAAGACAGCATGTCCTTAACTTTATAACTTGGAAATGAAAGTTAAGGACTACCGGTCCTTAAGTTTTGAACTTTGAAATCAAAGTTAAGTACATCATGTCCTTAACTTTATAACTTGAAAATGAAAGTTAAGGACTGACTGTCCTAAATTTCAGGTATTTTAACCTTGTTTTATATTATATTTTCAGGTTTGTTTATATGTTTTATGCATATGGATCATCAATAGCTGGTTGGAATCATTGTAGACCAGTGATTGTTGTTGATGCAACTTTTTTGAAGTCAAAATATCGTGGTGTTTTAATGATTTCAGTTTCAAAGGATGCAAATAACCAAATTTTCCCATTAGCCTTTGGAATAGCAGAATCTGAAAATAACAATTCCTATGAGTGGTACTTTAGTCAGCTTCGCAATGCAATTGGGAGCCGTGAGAATTTAATTTTTTTATCAGACAGGCATCAAGCTATTGCAAATGGCATTGCAAAGGTATATCCTGAAAGCCATCATGGGATTTGCATCTATCATTTGGAGCAGAACCTAAAGCGAAGGAAGGTGAAAAGTGAGGTCATAAAACTATTCCAAAGTGCTGCAAGAGTATACAAGCGCAAAGAATTTGACCTATACATGTCGGATATAGCAAATGTAGATAAGAAGACTTATGACTACTTGATGGAAGAACCACCGGAAAGATGGGCACGTTCTTGTAGTCCACGACGAAGATATGACATGCTCACAACAAACATAGTTGAGTCGATGAATTCTGTCCTATTAGAAGCAAGGGAGCTGCCTATACTAAGAATGATGGATTTCATTCAAGTGAAGCTACAATGTTGGTTTTATGAAAGAAGAAATAAAGCAGAAGGAACATTTTATGATGTTTCTTGTTGGGTAGAGGAGGAATTGAAGAAAAGAATAGATTTAGCATTTACTTTGAATGTAAGTATTATGTTCTATGTTTATATTATGATTTTAACAATATTTAACATAATGTACTCACTTATAATTTTTCAACATTGAAGGTCTTCCCAGTTGATTCATGGCGTTCTAGAGTTGAAGAAGAAGGAATAACTTTATTGGTGGACTTAAACAAAAGAACATGTGATTGTTTTCAGTTTCAATTTGATGAATTACCATGCATACATGCAATTGCAGCCATCGAGAAACGAAACATCAATAAGTCCAACTTTTGTTCGCACTGGTACTTAAAGAAATCTTGGCTGAAAACATATGAAAGACAAATTGTCACGACCCGGATTTACCACCGTCGGGAGTCGTGATGGCGCCTACTATTAGGAGCTAGGCAAGCCAATTAATTATTAACCTTTTTGGCAACATCGACAATACTAAGGCAATGAGACATTTAATATAAAGGCAGAAGTTTTAAATATAAATGAACTGAAAACAAGTGTGGAAATTCAATTACAACCTCTACCCAAGACTGGAGTCACTAACTCACGAACGTCTATAGAATACTAAAAACAGAGTCTGAATAAAATACAATACTGTTTGTTCCGGTACAAGGTCAACAAACGCAATAAGGATAGAAGAGACTCCGGGCCATGCGAACGTCAACAAGGCTACCTCGGGATCTCTGGACTGATGTCGGCTCCCAAAATGCTCCTACTGCTGTCCAAAAGTTGCTGTTCTGGTATTGTGATCTGTGCACAAAGATGCACAGAGTGTAGCATCAGCACAACCGACCCCATGTGCTGGTAAGTGCCTAGCCTAACCCCGGCGAAGTAGTGACGAGGCTAGACCAGACTACCAGATAAACCTGTGCAGATATATCTATACAAGTACAACAAAATAATAGCGAAAAGTAGGCAATTACAGCTGGGAGGGGGGAACATGCTTATGGGGAAGCAGATAAAACAGAATATCAGGAATAACAAAAGAAACTACATCTGATTTCTTCTAACACAGAATAGAGGAAAACAAACCACTTTCACTTATTTCAATTTCCTCTCATTGCAGGCGTGCAATACGATCCCATTTCCTTACATCACGTGGTAGGCGTACCATACGCTCCCATTACAATATTGTCATGTGGTCGGCGTGCCACACGTTCCCATTACATAATAACTCGTGGTCGGCGTGCCACACGATCCCATTTCATAATAACTCGTGGTCGGCGTGCCACACGATCCCATTTCATAATAACTCGTGGTCGGCGTGGCACACGATCCCATTTATTTCTACACAATACACACATAATCCCGACAAGGGAGAAAGATGTTATAATAACTATCCCGGCAAGGGAGCAATGTAATATAATAAACTATCCCGGCAAGGGAGATCCAGCTATAACCAAACTCATTCAATCTCTATTCAACACAATTACATCCACACTTAGTCTCAACAATTACTGGCTCAGTGTTAAAGATTTCCAACCAATTCCTCACGAATAACAATTACAAATTCGATAATTTAGCAAATTAGGACTCACGGTCATGCTCGACACCAGTGTATAGATACTCGTCACCATGCCTATACACCGTACTCGACAAATAGCAATTAACAAATAAGACTCTACTCCTATTCCCTCAAGCCAAAGTTAGACCAAACACTTACCTCAAATGCTCCAAACTCAACTCAAGCCTCTAGTATAGATTTACCCCTCGAATTCACCACCAAACCGCTCGAATCTAGTCACAAATTACTTGAATGTATCAGCAAATGCTAATCGAATCAATTTGAATGCATGAAAATGAATTTCCCAAAGTTTTACTCAAAAATTCCCAAAACGTCCGGGGCCCACGTGGTCAAAACCCGAGGTTCGAACCAAAACCCAGTTACCCATTCCCCCAAGAGTTCATATCTATGATTAGTTTTAAAATCGGACCTCAAATTGAGGTCCAAATCCCCAATTTTAAGAAAACCTATGTTCTACCCAAAATCCCCATTTTCACCCATGGAAATCCTTGATTTTAAGATGAAAACAGGTTTAATGATGTTAAAGATTGAAGAATTTAAAAGTAAAAGTTGACTTACAAATGATTTGGAGAAGATAGATTTCTTGGAAAATCGCCTATGGAGTTTGTGTTTTGAAAGAATGAAGAAAAGGGGTTAAAAATTCGTCTAAGTATGAAAAATGCAGGCCTCAGATGTGGGAAATGCGAACATGGGTTCTCAATTGCGAACCCAGCAGGCTTGGGAATTGCGACATTATTTTTCGCATTTGCGAACTCAAGCTGCCCAAGAGACCCTTCGCATTTGCGAATTGGGTCTCGCATTTGCGAACTAGTGTCCATCGCATTTGCGATGCCTGGCTTCGCATTTGTGGACCTTGGCCTGCCTGGGCTGGCTTCGCATTTGCAAACCAGCCTTCGCATTTGCGATAGCTGGGCATTCGCATTTGCGAACTCTGGCTTCGCAAATGCAAAAATTGCAGATAACTGATACTAGATTTTTTTCAAAGTGAGAAATGCAATCCGATGCCTATCCAAAACTCACCCGAGCCCTCGAGGCTCCAAACCAATTATGCACACAACCTCAAAAACATCCTACGGACTTATCCGTGCGATCAAATCGCCAAAATAACATCATATACATCGAATCAAGCCTCAAAACTCATGTTTTT